TAATATTTTGATTATATTTACCGAATTGTTGATTATAATTAACGATGTATTTTCCACGTTTTCGTATACAAACGGGCGAGATTTCGGAAATTCAATAACAATATCTGAATGATAACATTAACCGAGATTACATTAAGTGGAATCTACTGTATTTAATTATGGTAAAGCGAGAAAAAGTTATCTGGCTAAGGGGAAGGATGCCTTCGTGGAGAACTTTCTAATGAAAACTGCCTGTAAATCCAGTAAGTCCTAATATTTTCTGCTCGGAACCTCCTTACTTTCGTCGTTCCTAGATTCTAGTGCTTAGTGCTTCCTTCAAAGTTTTCAAAATTTTGACATCCCTTAATTTTGCTGAGCTTCTCTAAATTCTAAAAATTTCGTCGCTCCTGGATTTGCTGCTCAATGCCTCCTTCTGTGTTCTAAAAATTTTACTGCCCTTTAATTCTGGTACCTGGAACGACCGCACAGGTTTCACCGGCTCTAGCTACACGAGTTTTGGAATAGTTTTCATGCACGTAATTTAATTGCGTGCTATTTGGAATATATGCACATATACACTCTTCTGCAAAAAAATAAGCACCAAGAAGGACTTTTGCGATCGTGGCGAAATTTGGTATGCAAAAACATTTTGATCGAACATGCAAATGATCAAAGTTTCAAGGCAAATGAACAGGAATTGCGATCATAGCATTTTTAGTTCGCTATTCGCAAAGTATAAAACCAGTAACAGAGGCAAAAAATTTATCTTTTTTGTTGCTGCCATTGCAATTCCGTAAAGAAGCAACTAAAGATACCATTACGACGATATCGAAGAAACTTACAGACAACTAAACGACTTCGAACGTGGTCGCATTGTAGGGCTGCGTGAAGCTGGGTGGTCATACCAAGCAATAGGCTGCCATCTGCAGCGTACAGACATTGCTGTGCAAAGATGTTGGCAGCAATGGTTGCTAAAAGGAAAGTGCCGAAGAAATGAAGGCTCTGGAAGGCCAAGGAGCACAAATGCAGAAAAGATACGATGATTGTTCGCCAGGCCCGAACCGCCCCAAAGGTATCATTGTCGACTTTTCAACGCACTACAGCCACGTCTACACCTTTCGTGGTACCGTCCACCATCTCATGGCGCTTGTTCTGAGGCTCACAGAGGCCTTTAAGACGTTTGCCTTTGATCCCACAACATCGGCGGAGTCGTCTGGAGTAGTGTTGCAGCCGATCATCATAGCTGCCATCAGATTGGCATCGTATAGTATTCAGCGATGAATCTCGCTTCACTCTTGAAGCAGATGACCACCGTGTTCGTTTCTAGAGAGGACGGAGCCAGCGATCCCAATCAGCCTTTGTTTTACAAAGACATACAGCCATAGCCCCTGGTGTGGGGCGCTATTTCTTATGGCAGCAGGTTTTTCTTCAGTCATCCTCCCTACATCTTTAACAGCTCAACGATATGTTGATATCATCCTGCGGCCGGTTGCATTACTCATCATGGCACGTCATTCTGGAGTCATTTTCCAACAAGATAATTCCAGGCCACATACCGATCGCATATCTCTAGACTGACTCCGTGCGGTTGGTACTCTTCCTTGGCCAGCAAGATCACCATACCTTTCACCAATCGAGCATGTCTGGGGCATTGTAGGCCGCCAGTACCACAAAATATCACAGATCTGGAGCGACAACTGAGGAATGCCTGGCAGAATGTGTCGCAGGATGACATTAGGAACTTCTACCACTCCTTGCCCCGACGAATTCAAGCATGCATTGTCGCCAGGAGCTGTTCGACCAACTACTAATTTGAACACTCAATGGGTGAATGTGAGCCGTGAACAGGTACTATGGCCTTGATTTTTTAATCATTTTATTATCGGTGTATGAGCTATACATATATTCAATTTCATCAAAAACACCCATTTCCTTCATGGTGCTTCGATTTCCCCCCCTAAAAAAAGAGTGTATATATTAAAAGTAAATTGTTCTGTCGCAAAAATGAATGGTATGTTACTATTTTACCGTCAACCGTGAAAGTTGGCGAAGATCCCGCCTAACATTTCGGCGGATGTTCGAAGGAGCAGATCACTCTTTGCGTAATTAAAGGATTATAAATACGGCATTTCCCCCCCCTCTTTTTTTAAAAATTAATTTTATCATCCAAAAATAGAAAGCGGAAAATTATGTCAATAATTTAATTTTAACATTATAACAAATAAAATAGAGTCACGCGAATAGCATGGTAGCAAATGAAAAAGAGTCACGTAATGGATGAACTACAGTAACTATCACATTATTATTATTTTTTTTTTTGAAAGAAACGTACATTTCAATAACAATACATAGTAATATTAACATTAAAATATCTATTCATTCCCTGTATCTTTAATCTTGCTCGTTTTTATTGCTGTCTCTGCTACTCGATAGGCCTCAAATCATCCTTAAATAATGACAGAAGGGAAAGCCGACTCGGCGAAATCGTAGACTCAGTGTCGTTTTGTGTTTGCTTCGCTCTGTGTCGGTTCTTCTATTAAGCTTGCAAAAAGGGCATCAGTTAGAAAAGAAAATTTCGGCGTAATTTTCGCAGATAATTTGCGACAATTTGACTTTGTTAATAAGTTGAAAAGGATGTTTACGTGAAAGGATCCATTTTAAAATTTTGGAAGCTCGTTTTCTGAACGCATTGAGGAAGGAGAAAATGATGCGAACATTTTTAGAATTTTTAAAACATGACGCTAAAATTCTGGGGAGGGGGGGAGTACGCGAGAAAATATGATAGTCCTTTATTTAATTAGATAATCAGCAACTACAAATGACGAATATAGCATACACAAAACTTATATTAATATAAACTCAGGCTTTCAAGGTGTAGAGTTCAGTAGATAAACTTCTGTATGAAAACTGGAGTAGCAGAAACTACACAAGAAAAGGGTTAAAGGACCCTTTATTAAATCCTTAAAATTTACAATGCGTCAACTCGACGCTAACAAACTTCGTCTCTGTTTGGACGGTAACTGAAAATCAACTAATGAAACTAGAAGTTGAAGATATTAACAAGTGATAGAGCTAACCTACAGGGCTCGGCGAGATCCTGTAACTTAAACCCCCTTCGAAAAAAGTGGCAGCAAGTAAATGTAATTAAGCCGGTTGAACCAGCAATAAGCGAACGTATCTAAGGCAGAAGTAGCGGTTATACCTTAACTCTTTTTCCTCCTACGGAAACTCGTCTTTTAAATACTTCCTTCAAAGTAGAAATTTGTATTCCTTTACGCGCGCTACAAAATTTAACTATTCTGGTACTAACAATTAGGGAAATGAAGGCTTATAAGAAAGTTTCAAACTTTAACTCGTTAGTTAAAATAAATATAAATCCCTACAAAATTATCTGACAAACGAAGTCTTTAAAACTTATTCTAGTCATTAGGGCAGCCAAAAATTCCTAATAGAATTTAAAAGAGAAACAAACCTCTCTTCTGCTTTATGAACTCGGTGCCAAAGGAATTCTGTTAAATATGAATCTAAGTCATCGAGCAGTGATCTTCTTTTATTACGTCATTAATGCCTTTTATTATTAACTTCCTTTTATTACGCCATTAATGATTCTACGGTCTTCGGGGATAGATAGGGTTGGCCATTTTGCATAAATATGCTGACACTTTTATACAAATTGACCGTTGTTCACCAGGCTATAACGTTACCCCAGCATTAAGACACAAGAAGTGCCCAGTAGCCTTATAAAGTTCAGTATATACCATGATTCATGCAGCCTTTGTCAATATTCCAAGATGCACGAGAAAGAAAACGAATTTTTTTAGTTACCTTTTTAACAGAAAACAAGCAGGATACTAAATAACTAATTTGGTTTATCTAATTTTCCATTTTGCATTCTAGGTATTTCTCCTCGAATAATTGTTTCAAAATCTTGAGATATATATACCAGATTTCAATGTAAATTTCATTCATATTTATTTTTTCTGAATTAACCCCCCCTCCCCAAAGAAAAGTTCTCTGGTTTCACGAATGTTAGATTTCAACCTAACGCGTTCACGAGGAAGAAAAGTTTATGATTCAAAATTAAAAACGCAAGTATATAAATACATATATAAAGAAGAAAATATTTTTTTTTCTCTTCTTAAAAAAAATCTCATGTGGACCCCACATGACTTCCTTGAACGGCCTATTGGCCGTATAAGAACAATTTAATAAAATTATACATATTTTTTGTTGCACTTCACTTCATTTAAACTTATCCGCTGGAATTATTCTAACTTAATTAACCGATATCTCAAGGCAAGTTGAAAATGGCATCAAAAACTGAAAATTTTGAAATTAAATATTCTGGCCAATTTTTGTGGTAAAGGAATCAAACATTTTGTATTTTTATTTTTTCATAACGAGTATAAAGCTTTCCCAAATATAAATATAGGAACCTGGAGACCGCGTTATATATTTGTCCAAAATTATTATTTTTGTTTAATTTTACATCACCAAAACAAAACATTTTTATCATTTAAAACACTTCTGTAATTGTGAATACATGTCTCCGACGAACGTTAGCGAAAATTAAAACCGGGTGAGGTTGGCATACCTATGTACTTTTGGTACTGCAGCGGATTGCAATAAAAAAGAGAAATGCACAATCGAATGTCATAGCAATTGCACACACACAATTTCAATGTTCTACTGTTAATCGTTTTTGAGTTATGCGAGATATATAGATACGTACGCACAGCCGTTACGAAAAAAATCGATTTTGAATTCATTTCATAATCCGCTTTGTAACAAAGCGCCCTTATATTCTGTCCGTACGGACAGATGTTACGCAAAAACATCATTCAAATAGATTCGGGAGCAGTCAAATTCGATATTTTCCTTGAAATATGAAACCCGAAATTTTTCGCGATTACAATATTTGCTTTACCTCGTTCAAGAAAGAAAAAGTATTTGCTGTTGCCAACTCATAAAACTAAATTTCTTAGGAAGTAAGCAGATACGCATCTAAAAATGCTCATTACCTTTTAACCTGAGAAAGTTTCATTTCCGTCTTGTCTATGTAATCGTGCAACGTGGTCACAAGATGCCGCTCTAAGTGAAGAAGGTTTTGTAGATGGGCGGTGGACGAGAATATATCTGCTTGCACCATCGTCACCAGCAATGCTGCAAACACATACCGCATCATCCTGTAGAAAAAGAGTTGATAATTATATATACTGGATTATACAATCAAACACTCTAAAATTACAATTAAAAAAACACTTATAATCTGCAACTAAAAAAAACAATTTATAATTATACACTTGATTAATAAAATAATAAATATAATACACTTGATTAATAAATTGATTGATAATAAAAGAATGCTAATCTTTAGAAAAGGCGAAAGGAAAAAAGTGTGGACGCAGTCATCTGATCAATGTTCCTGTTTACAAACTGTTAAGTGTTGCCATACTTTTTTCTTTTTTTTTAAATTCGCTATCATTTACATTTGGGATGTAAACTGATTAAAACATCCGAATGATGATGAAATCCAGATCTGCTCCGGATATCTTCACCTATAAAAATTGTTACTGCTTGGAGTTGTAAAAAATGTTCAAAATTTTCGATTCATTTTGTTCTGATATGTTCATCCACAAAACTTATACGAACTGTTAACAAAGAAAAATACTAACTTAGTATTTGAAAATATTAGGAAATATAAAATTGTTTAATTTAATTATTCTTTGTTTAGAAGCCTTGGATGGCAACGATTTGTAAAGCAATTTAAAATGGAATCCTAAACTTCAAAACTTTTATTCAGCAGAAACTGTTGAGATGTTATTTTTAGGTATTTAAAACTGTGAATTTTAAAATTCCAATAAAACAATCCATAGAATGTTATTATTTTGATAAAATTCTATGATCTGTATTTTGCGAACTCTTGATGTTAATTTTAAGATACTATCAGATGAATGAATTTTTAAGGTACGTGTTGCCAACTTTGATTAATGTTTACTTTAGTTATTATTTCCAGCGTTAGCAGTAACACAAATTTTGGTTAATTGGTTAATTAATCGAGACTTACTATGATTTGATTTGCATAAATGTTCTGGCACCTTATTCAAACTGACTACTGTTCGCATGGAACCTTTGTCAAGATGCCGGTACACGTCTTTGAAGATCAAGTGAATAGTCGCCGTCTTGAATAAAAGTGTCGGCAGTCTTAGGAAATTCAGCTTAAGCATAACAAATGCAACCTTCATCATGGTGCCGGGATGGTCAAGGTAATGTTATTATTTAGTTATGAGTCAAAGACATGCATAAAGGTGCCGGCACACTTATGATATTCAGTTTAGCACCTTGCCTTCCTTTAAGGTTGGTTTCTCTCTCAACGAATTTTCCATCATAAAGGTTCTGGTACCCTTATGAAGTTTAGTTCAAAACTTATAAAGCGAATTCCATCAAAGTGCCTTACGTTTTTGATGGTTTCGGTCTTGGAGAAATCTCTGCCATAAAGGTGCCAACACCCTTGCAAAGTTTAGAACTTCAACAAAACAAATTCTATCAAAGTGTCGTACCTTTATGAAGGTTTCGATCTTAGCGAAATTTTCATTATAAAGGTGCCGGCACCTTAACGCAGGCGAGCCGCTGTTTGCCAAGAATGCTTTGGCATAAAGGTGCAAGCACCATTATGAAGGCGGTACCAGTATCTTTATTTATTCAAGCTTTTGGCATTGATCACAACATTTTCTATGCTGTTTCTTGTTCAATTTATAAAATGCATTATATTTTTAGAGTTTTGAGAAGAAAGGGGGAAGAATAATCGTTTAGCACTGATGAAAAAGGTGTATAAGACAAAAAAAGTTGAGAACTACTGGTGTAGAAAATGCAGATAAATACCAAAACTTGAATAAATGAAATTTTTTATATTTATAAATTAAAACTCAATACGTAACATTAAATAAAATAAATAACATAATTATTTAACATGGCGTGTTCTTTTAAATCGCGTTATTTATTTTTGAAGGGCAGTTACAAGTGTAAAAAAAATATTTACAAGTGTCCATCACAAGTGATCGGATTCCCCCCTTGAAACTATGAAATTCATCCCTCTCCCGGGAAGAATTTCTGCCTGGTTGAGAACCTTGAGATAAATAGAGAGCATGGTGATTAATGTTTGCTATCGAACTTGTGACCTCAAATTTCTTTATCAGTCAGGGCTTAATTTCTAAAATTAGAAGTGCCGGAGCCCTATGGAAGACCGTCAGCAAAGAGGAACAAGAGTAAATAAATAAATAAGATGACTATTAAAACTCTTTAATAATTTTAAAATTAAATAGTTGATTATTATCAAATTAATTATTAGCTATTTAATTAATGTTTATAAAATTGTTTATTTAATCTATAATTACTATATAATTAATTAATTATAATTTAATTGATAATTATTAGATAATTGATTATTATTTATTGAAATACTTAAAGTTTAAAGTAATTAAATTAAATGTAAAGAGATAAATTAAAATTTAATGAGCGATTTTTAATATAATTGTATTGCTAAAAATAAAATTTCTACTGAAATTGTTATTCAGTTACATAAATAAAGTGCCGCAGCCTTCTAATTTAGGGCTCCGGTGTGCTCCGGCTAGAATTATGATTTATTACAAAAACTAAGAAGCATCGGAGCCGGGAGCCGGTGAGCTCCGGCCCAATTTAAGCTCTGATCATCACAAAAATTAAAGCTGATGAAAATTAAGATAATACTAAAAAAGGGTGAAACAGAATGAGGGCGTGAGGGTATGAGTGGGTGGAAACAAAAAGTGAGGGAAATCTTGGTGAGATAGAACTTTCTCTTTGACCGCGGCTCTCAGATGATATAATTATAGCCATCAACTTTGTCTGTCTGTCTGTCAAGCGGATGTATGTTAGAGGTAAAATGAGTCCTGAATCTAACTTCTAAGGATGAATGTAAAGTTGCTGGTTACACTTTTCGCCCCCCCCCCCGTATTCGGTTACATTAGAGGATGCTGTGGGAAGACGATGTATAGGACATGCTTGAGCAGTTTATCTCAGTATTTCACTTTTATTGTACCCGCTGTCACTTAACGAACATTTAAGAACGCAAATTTTCCTTCCTGCGAGGCTAACTAACCATCGATAACAATACACTAGATACGATGGCATGGCGAGAAATTTACGCGTTCCTAAACAAACTCCCCCAAATTTATTGCCCTTCTTAAAGGGAAAGGTTTCCGTATGTGAGTGAGGGAACTTTATTTGAACGTCTCATGTTCTCATGAGTTCGTATTTCTAGGGAAATAGAGTACTGAAAGGTCTGCTTATTGTTAAACTAAAACGTTAGGAGTTCTAATTTTTTTTCCTTGAAATTATGGTTCAGTTTTATAAAAAGAAGTACCGGAGCTCATCTTATTTAGGGCTCCGGTGCGCTCCGGCTAGAACTGCAATTTATCCTAAAAATTGAGAAGCACCGGAGCCGGGATCCGGTGGGCTCCGGCACAATTTAAGCTCTGAGTCTGCGAGACGAATTTAATTCAACCATTTAAAATGAACCATTTTAAATACCATTTTGAACCATCTTAATTACCTCTGACGAATGTAGCTGAAAAATTTAAAATGGTAACGCCCGAAGTACCGAAGTGTACTTTCACGTCAATGAGATCGCACGAAGCTTCCTAAGACTGTGCACTACAGTCGTCATTCTTGTAATGAGTTTTCACAATCAAAACTCGCTATTCCTTTTTCTATTTATAGCGCTCCAAGTATACTAAGCTGCAATGAAGCTGTGAAATGAACTCGTAGTGATAAAATACCAGTCTTGCCAGCTCAAACTTACATTTTTAAATCGAAGAGTTTACCTCTTGCAAGTATGTAAAAATATTTTGTGTTTTCTAAGATTCTTTTGGGCACATTAAATCCAGTGCTTTTGTTGGCTCAAACTAATGTATTCAAAATGTTAAAAAGCCTTACTTGCCAGAAAAAAAAAAAAAAAAAAAAAAAAAAAAAAAAAAAAATGTTTTATACACTGTTCTAATTATTCTGACTAATTTGCTCTAGAGTTCGATTATGTGTTAGAGTTCAATTCGATACCTAAATACACTGTTAAGTGAATCACTGACTGTTCAAGTAACTTTTGTGGATAGCCGTTAGGTTTAAGCATTTAACAGCACAGTAAGTTCTAAACATTTTGTCTGCCGAATTAATTGCACCAGTTTTGACTCCGGCCGCATTTTAAGACTGCCTGATTAGCTGTAACTAATTAAAGAATCCGCCACGACTGCCGCTGTCTTAACGTAATACCCAAATTTATCTCTAACGAATGTAACTGAACCATTTAAAATGGTAACTCCCGAAGCTCCAAGCAATATAGGAAAACCGGAACTATAAAATGGTGGCAAATGTTAAATCGTGATTGCAGATGTCAAGGAGAGCAGCATCCGTATTGAGGGTAGAAATTTTATTTTTTTATCGGATGGGGTTGAAATTTTTCTCTCCCTCCCGTCTCTTCTTGAAGATGAGCCGCAGGAAATTGGGTTGTGGGAGGCCCCATAGACCCGTATATTGCCACGCTAGAAGAAAGTACCGTTAATAGAGTAACAGTAATTCTGTATTACTTTTACGGCAACTTTCACACGAAACAGGTCAAGCCCGGAAGGAATTTAGAGGCAAGCATAACATGCTTCTCACTTTCGGGCAAACACTGATGTTTCTTCTTGTCTCAGATAATCCAATTCTTCTTAATCGCTGTCAAAGCGCTCTTTTAACCATTTAGTAACTAGTTATTTAAAAAAAAAAAAAAATACAGGACTCTTTTAATCAATCCGTAGATTACTTTTATTTATCAAAAATATTTTTGCGGAAAGTTCCTTTAATCATTGAGTGTTTAATTTTCTTTATCAAAATATTTTTTTTTTTTTTTTTGTAGAAAACTCTTTTAATGATTCTGGGTGTTATTTTCCTTAATCAAAAATTTTATTGTCGAACACTCTTTGATCGTTCTGTGTGTTATTTTACTTTATCAAATTTTTCTTTATTGCGTATATGTGAAACACTGTTTGAATCATTCTGGGTGTTAGTTTCCTTTATCAATCGACACCTCGTTTGATCGTTTTGGGTGTTATTTTACTTCATTAAAAGTGTTTTTTTTTTTTTTTTGGAACATTCTTTTAATCGTTTTATAATCATT